ACTGTTGAATCTTAAGTGAATATCAAGCCTTGAGGGCAGGGTATCAGCTCAAACACAAGCAACAAAAATATAATTCTCCTTTATTGACGACCAACTTACATATGTAATACTATGTGATATCAGAGTGATAATTCTGCACAGCAGGTGCTGAAGGTGCCAGCCTAGCCAGCCATTTTCACTGTGCATTCACTCCAAAGCCCACCCACTCCATGCTCTCAGATGCACACAGGTTTCATGGATTGATATGCAATTGCTTGCTGTTTCAAAGAATAAGCAATTCGAGAAGTTCCCGCTGTTCCTAATTACCTCTCAAGATTCAGGTTTCCTCTAACAAGAGATTTTTGTCAACTCTTTTTTTGTGTTGCTCAGCGTTCTTCAGAGCAAATTAAGCCCTACATACAGCCTTGTTTTGTTGCTGGTTTTGTTGTGCTCAACACGAGCCTGTGTGACAGTCCTTCATTTTGTTGGATTCCGGGGTTGTTGCTTGTTTGCTTTGCACAAAAATGGTTTCTTAAAAGAATAAGGTGTTTATGTATGTCATACTTCTTTACTTGTGTCTGATTAATTGTGACAATATTAGAAGTAGCCATTAAATTTCTGTGTTTACAGCTGTTTATTGTCTTCAGATTACAATCTCACCTCCTTCCCTGCAGCCATGACAGAAGTTGGTTATTGGATCCCATCTGCGGTGTCAGCCTGGCATCCCAGGTTTCTCTGCACAAGGAAACATCTCCTTGGCACTTGTGGAACAACCTTACAGAATTCTAATCTGGTCCCAAGGTCTGTATAAATACATATATATATTAGATTTCTATTCTTGGAATGACCCAGAAAGGCATCTGCTCATTCAGGGTAAATCCTTTGCAGTTAACACAGATAAAGTATTGTGGTTTCCTTTGGTTTGGTTTGGTTTGTTTTCTCCAAGGGGAAGTTGCTGTGCTTTACTTCAGGGTGGGCACCTCAACTGGTAAAAGGACAAAGCTAAACATGATGTGTAAATGATAAATGGTTACTTCCAAAAGTAGGGTAGTTATTTGTAAGCATTTTATTATAAAATTGTGCAGTGTAATTTCAAAGTATTATTTTTTTTCATACCTGAAATTTGAATTGCATTAGTTCACAATTTTTTTCAACCTTAATCATTAATTAAATGAAAGGATGAAAAGCTCTGACTCTTTTTTGTCTACTTACTGCTGTTGGAATATTTTGCTCTTTTAAAGGACTTTTAATCAAATGTCTTATATTTAGAGTTTCTATTTCACACCTTTCTCTGACCATTTTATTTTTTTCAAACACAAACTTATTTGCAAACATGTTTTTCCGCAGGAGATAAAGGAAGGGGGAACGGGGAAGCAAATCTTGGGTTCTATGTCAAAACACCATTTTTTATGATTTATTGCTTCTCAGCACTTTACTTTTCTATGGAGCTCCTGCAGGGGTTTGCAATATTCACTTCTGCAAGGAACAGCATGCTTTAATTCTGCTTCCTTGATTTCCCTGTAGGTCCCCTCAAACTCTGGAGATCCCTTTTTGCGGGGATAATTGGTTTTCAGTGGCACCTACTGTGCTTATGAATGCAGCACTCCTAATGAAGATATTGAGCCTCTTGAATAAGGATATGGCAACATAACCATAAAATGCACTGAGGGCCTTTAGTACAAGATCATGGATTATCAGCACAGAGCACAGACCAACCATTAAAGGGAAGATGATGTAGAGAGCAGGCAGGTAACTGAGAAACTCAGATGAAGCCTTACAAGATACAGCATGCTCTGTCCTGTGTGTTCTGAAGGACTTTATAAAGTATGAGGCTTTGAATTATTAGAAAGAGGAAGGTAGATAATGCAGCAGAGAGCAGATGTAACTCTTGACTGTGTCCTGAGTGGTACCACTGCCTGTCCTATACCTAAATCAACTATACCACAACAGTCTAACAGACTGCAAGATGGAATGCTTGAGAGATGTCAGATAATAAACAGAAATTTGGAAAAGCTGGCATAATTAGAAATAACTACTTAGTTTGCATCAGTATGAGGCCAGGAGTTACATATGGAACAACATACACTTGATAGGGTGTTGAACTTTGAAAAAGAATGAGTCCTTCCATAGGGAAAGAGAGGACCTTTATCTCCAGTAAAAAAAATTGCCTGTAGATGCTACCATTGCAAATATACACAAAGCCATGATGATGATCATAAATTTTCAAATCCTTTTGTGAGAGCCCTTTCCCTCAGATCTGAGGGAGGGCTTCTTGTACAATTTATAGTATTTGTAGTAAGAATGTCAAAATGAGAAGCCTGACTCGAAGAACACTTGTCTTAATTTTACATGTCTAGAAATTTAACCAAGTGAAAATGAAAAAGTTTATGGTTTTTCATAATCTTGTTTATTCTATTACATGTTACAGCAGAGAAGTATATCTTGTGATTCAGATTTTCAGAAACAAGCTCTTACTTGCAGTTGGGCTCCTGTACAAGCTTTCAAAATGTTGAACTCCTACTAGTTTCCATCCACCTCAGAGACATGGGTAAAATTGTTTTTATTTAGTTGTAAATTTGCTCAGTTTCAGTGCAGAACAATGCAACTTGTTAAAAATGAATAGGTGATACAGGATGGATTGGAGAAGCAGGTATAACTGAGACCTGTCTGGAATATAAAATTTGGCCCCCAACCATCTGTCCTTTGCTTACACCTGATTTCTAATACTGTGTTTAAATGAAGGATATTGAATCAGTTGAACTGAAACTCAACAGATAAGTAGAGAATGCAAAAGTGTACCTTGTGATGAGGTAGAATCAGATTTATTTTTTTAAGTTCCTTAAGATAATAGAAATTACATAAGAGTAACTTTTTTAAAATAAAAACAACTTCCTTTTAAAAATTTTTTGTTTGGTTGGTTTGGTTTTAGAGTTTTGTTTGTTTGATTAATTGATTTTTTTTTTTACTAGATCATCAGTGGCCACATCCTAATTTAAGTTTCTTCAGTGTAAATCCTCATGACATGTTGACTTAAGCTGTAATACTTCATCCCATACAGAAAAGTGAAGCATTTACCTTCTAAAATGATACACTGAGTTTCAAGATTTGCCTGTTTCAGGCTACCAGCTCAAACTTTTCTCATAACAAACAATGGTATTGTCAGTGGAAAGTTGATTTGAAAATTAGTCTTTTTTTAAGGTCATTTTAAAGCAGCCCTAAGTTATTTTGGTAGTCTATTGTGATTCTTCAAAATTGAAAATATCTTCTGCTTGCAGGTTCTCTGTTTTTCATTAATCTCTTACTTCCAACAGGGTATCTAAGTAAATGACATGTTATTTCCGTTTTGCTAACATATATTCTGTGAATCCATCATTTGTTTTTATTCAGCTCTATGGAATGTTGTAGAATGTTGCATCCACCATCCATTTTCTAGTTCATTTGCTTAGACACAAACAAACACACACACACACTCATTTAGAAATCCAAGCATGCTCTTTATCATTTGTGCCTAAGCATCAGCAGTCCAAATTATTCTTTCCACCGTTGCACAAACACTCACTGTTGCCATTATTATGTTTCTCTAGTCACCTTCCTCGACTTGTAAACTTCTCTCACAGTAATAGATTTTTCAGTTAGTTTTATTACATGCCATCTCTATTTACTGTTTGTGTCATCTATCCAACACATCCCTCATGCAGAAAGTAAAAGCTACTTTTAGCATTCCAAATCATGAAGGCAGCTATAGGCCAGAGCCATCAGAGACTGTACAGAGTGCAGAAAATATTGTCTTTTTATGGTAGTCAGTTGCCTGTTATTCACAGAGGATTTACTGCAGTAAAAGAGAAGGCTCTTCAGGATAACCTTTAAAGTGCTGTTTCCACGGAGGATGACTTGAATTCATACTAAGGCTGCCTGAGTGCTCCAGCAGTGGGGAAAAAAACAAGAAGAGAGGTTTTGAATCGTGGGTCTTTATGCCCATGACACGTTACCTTCCAGATATCACCATTCTCCCTTCAATCTGTCAAATGTTACCGTGGGGAATACAGGCTAATGCAGTCATCTCCTGCTAAGGACATAATGTCAACGATTTTATCCCGTCACGCTCCGAAAAGAGAAATATGGTTAAAGATAACCTCTGGACACCTACCACGCAGGTGGATTGTGGAAGGCAAGCACAGAAACACTGCGTGAGACTTTCACTGAATATATTCTTTCCTGCTGAAATAGCTTAAGGCTGGATGGATTTGTCACCAAAATGGAGCTAAATGGAGTTAAAACAATGTGGAGACAAGGTGGTCTTGTTTGAACTGCGGGAGTGCCTGGACCTACGATAGGGGTGTGAGGTCCACAGTTAAATCTCCATCGTAGTGTTGGACATTACACCCAGGAATCATCTGTCCCTATTGTATGGAAAGCATTTTTGCCACTGAAAAGTTAAGTTTCAAGAGTTACTCTCAGGGATCTCTTTGCAGCTGCTTTTGCTGGGTTAATGTCCACTGTATTACACAACAGGCTCTTCCAGAAAGAGGAATACAGCTAAATCACTTCCACAGAAAGGGATGGAGACACCAGGTCAGATTTTCTGTTCTGCTCCAGGTTCTTTTAATAGTTAAAAAACTATATTTAAAATGAACTTCTTTAATCTAACGGGGGGTTTTTGGTTTTCTGTTTTGTTTGTTTGTTTGTTTGTTTTTGAGGGGCAGTGCTTGGTTTAGGGTGGGATTTGGTGTAGAACCATGAAGGAATCCCTTGCACAAAATTTCATCTTTAAATATTGGTTTTTTCAGCAGCCAAGAATCCAAATTGTGCTGCTGTGTGGATCAGGAGAAGGGTAATTATAGGATATAGCAACTCTTTGCTGGTCTTCTAAGAAAATCAGGCCCATGGAGTTTGGCATAACTATGTGTTTCCATGTGCTGTTATAACTCCTTCTTCTCCATCCCCTTAGTAACATTTTAATCTTTTTTTTTCAGTTCCAGCAGAGGACACAGGCAAAATGTGATTTTATTCAAGGTTAATTAAAATAAATTTTTTGGGCAGGAACATAAAAGTAACGTTGCTGAAATGTGAAAAATAATGGCAGATTGCTACTGCAGGATGAGGCATGAGGACACCACGTGAAAGAAAGCATTTCTCAGATGTACCAAGCCCACTGCAAGCCAGAGGCTTTCACCATGAAGAACTCCCTGTTTAAAAAGAGATTAGAAACTTTGGCACAAATGCTGCACTGCAAACCCTCAGCCACTTTCACTGGTGGATGCATAACTCCTCTGACCTTCTGCAGGTAATAATTTGCTTTGAAGGCTCCCAGTTCGTAGAGAGCTATCTTCTCTTCTTTCCAATAGAGAGTGACTACTTTAATAATAGTTTCCAGCGGGATGACAGAGCAATATAGGAGAACATCCTATACTCTTTGCTCTGTAGATTAGAGAAATACCATATATATTGATTCGCTTTATAAATAGAAACTTTTGGAAGAATTCCACTGAGTTTCAATCAGACTGTCGTTTCATTTATTAAAAAGACAAATCAAAACACTCCCCCCAAATCCCTATTTAAGGGAGTATTTTTTGTTTCAAGAACTAGCTAGGTTTCAGATAATGCACTTCAAGAGAGGAGTTCTGTGAGTGAACTGTGAGACGCCTTGACTAGAGAGATCCTTTTGTGAATCCCTGACAAACAGCTGACTACAGGCAACTTAAATAACCATTTAACCAGAGCAATATGAGGAGAACTGAGCTGACTTTTAGCTGGGTGATGAATCATACATTTATGATTTAAGTATAATACAACAAATTTGACTCTGGTTCCCTGAAGTTATTTCCTTCAATATATCTTGAAAAGGTATGTTATTAGCCTGTCCTAGTGCAAAACCATCAGCTGAAACTAATCTCTCTAATGAGGTTCATTTGTTCTCTGACAAACCAATAAATAGCTTTCTCAAGAAAAAACTTAACTAATAGTTGAGCCTCAGCCTTATAATTAATTTTCTTCTCCAGTGGTAGCAGGCATGGAAACAAACAGTAAATTTTTCATTTCTTCATCTCTTTCGAGCAACTGCTTAGCACAGATATGCTTGATTAATGGATTTAATTTGTTCCCTTCTCCTCTAGTCAGTTTTTATATTACAGTGGTTATCAGAGGGTAAGACAATAATGTGGGTACTCTCATTGTCCTGTATTCCATCAGTGTCAGGGCTGCCTTCCAGCTCCGGGTCTGCATCTTTAACCTTTGTAGTCCTGCCGAATCTTTCATCAATCTGTGTTACAGTCACCTTGGGAAGGAAAAACAGAAGCACTCAGTCAGCACTTACAGGTAGTAAAGTGTGTCATTATTTCTTACAAAATGCTGGCAGCAGTGCACCTTTCATTTCCCGTAGAAATATGATTTGTGAGATGAGCAACCCTATGGTTAAGAGGGGAAAATGTAAATTAATAGTCTGCTTGCTGCTTGTATTTTTTTATTTATATTTATGTGTGTGTGTCAAAGTATAAATTACATGGGGGTTTTTAACCTCATAGTTTATATGTACATATAAACACACCATATTTCACTGGTTCTAAATATGATTACTGCTATATACTTATATTTTGTGTGCCTGGTTCAAGTAACATCAGGAAAAATAAGACAGACTTCAAAAACTTCCATTTCACAGTGTTAGTTCCCTCCCAGCGGAACAGATGTGATCGTGGAGACTCGCTAAGGTTATTCTAGGTTTCAGGCTACAGAAGCGCTGCATAATTACAAGGTGCCATGTTCCTTCAGTTTCTATTATACTCAAAAGGAGCTTAACCAAATTTAGGGGGAAATATATTGCTTCTGTACATGGCACATTACACCCTTCTGTAATAAATCAAGTTTAAAAGATCATTAAGGACTACTGAAATAAATATGTATTTAGAGTGCCACTGTAGGCATGCATGATACACATTCTTCGAGGATGATGGCATGCAACTGGGAAAAATCATTTTAGTGAACTTGTAATTTATGTTTTAGTGATTCAGCAACTGTATAAATGAGTTATGTATCTTCTGAGGTATCAGATTCATTTCCATATTGGACAGTGGTATAGATATTTACTTGTGTTCTCCTCATTTCAGCAGTGTAGAAATGCTGGGAGAGTCCAGGCCAGAGAACCTTTACAATATAAGTAGACAAGAACAATTACACAAGTGAAAGAAGAAGAGATGAGGGTGACTTGCCCAAAGTCCCAGAGCAAGCTGGTGTCAGACAAGTTTAAGCCTGGCATCTGGATCCTGCTCAGATGTGCAACCCACTGTGGCTGCCTTTGTTGTTTCTATTTCAGGACCTCTCCCTCCGTGTTGTTTCTGACATGTTCAGCTGATGAGGACTGAACGATACCATGATTCACACTGGACATTTTAATACCTGTCAGATCAGGAGGAAAAACATCTGTTATGCAGAGTTTACTTTAGAAGAACATTATACTAAGGCCTTCATTTGTCAGTGACAAAAGTGACCTGACAAATGGTGAAATATCGGTGCAAGTTTTTCTCATTCATCAGGATCACACCATTCGTTTTTGCCTGTTTCAAAATGTGACTGTCAATTGAAACATTTATTAATCTGACTTTTCTTTTACCTGGCCTGTCCTAGAAAGTGAAATTGTGAAATGACTATTAAAACATCTATGATTCATGTTAGATACTTTGAGAGTTTCACTGTGATCATTAAATCTAAAGCCAAATGTAAAAGAACATATAAGAATACAAAAAATAGGGGTTTTTTTAATTTAACAACGATATTTTTAGGAACATTTTGCAACTATAGTGTCCAAGGTGATAGTTTTGAAAACTGATGCTCTAGTCCTGGTTTTTTAATCAGTAGGTTTTTCTTGTGTCTGTTCCTAAAAGGTTTTTTTCCCCACTTAGTTAAAGAAAGTTTGGTTTGCCAAGGCAAGTTCAGGATGGCCACACATAAATATTTAGCTCTTCTTCTGATTTTGGAAATATCTGAATGAAATTAGTTTTGGTCTCATTTTTCTTGTCTCAGTGAGTATACCTGAAACTCCAAAGGAAAGAAGTAGTCATGTTTTACCTGCAGATCTTTTTTTTCTTGGTTTAATGTGTAATTAGAATCTATTTAAAACTTCTATGCATTTTGTCTATGCTGCAAATTCCTATTTGTGTGAGTTTTCAGGGAAAGAATCAAGTTTGAAAAAACAGGGTTGAAATTATAGATATATTGTAGCTAAAAGCCTTTTAATAAAGAAGATTTTTAACTACTTGGATTACTTGACTTTTATCACCTGTTATCAGTTCTTACTGTCTAGGTTAGCTTTATAACTAATGGGCCTTCTAAAAGAGAATTGAAACAAAAATGTAAAAAATTAACACAAAATAGACAAAACCTGATAGCTTTGCAAAAAGAAGTTAATAGACCCTTCAAGTAATTCATGTAGTTTTAAAGATACCATCCCCTCTCTGTTGATTATAGTGCTCCCTGTTACAGAACAGAAAAGAGAAGCAATGAAACACAGAAAGGCAAAAAAACCCCAACCCTCTAGACTTCTAATCACATGTGGCTGGTAATGCAAATTTTTGCTGTGCTTCCTATTTTGATAGAAAAAAACCCCAATGCACAACCTAAAAAAAACCTCTGATGTGGACACAGCAAATAATTGAACTTTCTCTCAGCATGTGATCTGAAAAAATGCATTGAAAAAGCCAATCCTCATATTTTGGAAATATCACACAAATAAAGACAACCCTCACTGTATAGTGCTACAAATACAAATATTCCACAAGTAAATTAATCATGCTTGTTGTATAAAGTTGGGGGAAGAAGGAAGAAGGGGGGACATTTCCAGTGATGTGTCTTGCCCTTCTGGGGATGGATGAACACCTGCCTGGCCATGGTAAGCAATGAATGAATTCTTTATTCTGTTTTGTTTTCATGGTGAACTGGTTTTATTTCAACCCAGGAGTTTTCTCTCTTTTTTTTTTTTCTCTCTTTTACTCTCCCAGTTCTCTTTCCCCATGTCACTGTAGGGCAAGTGAGCAAATGCCTGTGTCGTGTTTAGCTGCCTACCAGGGTTAAACCTCAGCAAATATGGAAAAAAAAAATTTCATGTTGAGTACCACACAGTAATTGTGGGGTACAATAAAAAGTAAATAAGTAAATACCTTCGGTTCCTGTAGGTAAAAATAGAGAATAACACAGTAATTAAACTGTAATTCCCATCTTTTTCTGTCTGTACAATGAATAAGGTTGCCTTGAAACCATAGTTCTGCAACATCCCAGTTAAGGAATGCTTTATGAGATTATCTCAGTGATGTTTTGTTCACGTGTAGCGCTGGTACCCGTGTGCCCCTGAGCACATAACACCGTATCTATTCAAGCTCTGTCATTAACATGAGAGCTAACAAGCTTGGAGATGGCTCAGAGAAAGGTCAGGTGCTTCATTAAGCCCACTCGTCAGCCATTGGAGGGTTTCCAGCCATGGTGAGCTATGACAAAAACAGCCGAATTTACATTATACTTCTGCACAATTAACTCTAAATTAGGAAATTAGAGGCAATCTAGGGGGATAACTGAGGGGCTAGTCGTGATGAATTATGTGCATCTGTACTAAACCAAAGTGCCTCCATGCCCTGGCAATTCAAATACTCTTGTCTCTGCAGAAGTGACCTTTATGTCAAGCAGTTTGAGCCCATGATCCTTAGTCAAAAACAGGACGTAAAGTTTTTTCTCAGAAGAGACAACTGAAATCAGAAAACCTCCTACCACAACAAGTTGCATATTTCAAAGGAATTGTAAATCACTCAAGAGCCATTGTCACTTGGGAAGACTGTGAATGATGTGTTCTGATGCAATCCATGCTTGCAGTGTGTCCCATACAACCTGCAAACCTAATGGTGAAGCAAATGCTGGATTTCTCCCGTGTGCCAGAGCAGGATGGGGCTATTGCCTTGCCCTGGGTTTGGACTGCTGTCTGAAGGGCAGACTCCTACCTTAGAAGTGTTTAACTTGGCATGCCCAAGTGCTGAAAGACCATTACAGTAGCTAGTTCAATGGAGAACAACCAAAATGAACTGTCGAAATAACAAATTTGCACGGTTAGATTAGGATCACTTAAATCTTGCTCTGATCTGGCACTTTGACAGAGGAGCTCATGATCCTGAAGGCAATAATTCTCTTTTCATGTCTTGTTACAAAAAGAATTATATAGATATTATTAATTTGAAGAAGGCAGGGTAGAATTCACTTTTGGTGGAGGGCCAGTTGTTGAGGATTGTATTTGAAACAGCCAAGACAATTTACTGAATTCTTATCTTAATAGGATTAATTCTTTTACTATTTTTTTTTTTAAAATACAAGTTCCTGTCTCGAGAAGTACCATGAGCTTTACTTGAAGGGAAAACTGAAATTTTTCTACTTAGTTAAAACTTTTTGCTGTTGCCTACCTGTAGTATTACAAATAAACATAAAAATTAAAATCAAAATGAAGACCAGGAAGCAAGTGGAAAGAAATATATATTTTAAAAATCCATATTAACATTCCTGAAAATCAAATTAATTTATTTGAGCATTCAGAAGTAGTAGCCATATAAAAATAAGATACATAAAGAAATGTTTTTATTAAATCATGTCTGTTGAACTAGGTGATGTTCTTGAGACATTAGGGAAGCTCACTCGACCTTTCTCTCTGGTGGCAGGGGAATAACTTTTTCCATTTTTTTCCCCATAACCTGAAAAATCAAGTTAATTAATTTGGCATTTCCACAGCCTCACTATGATTCAGAAGCCATTGATGCTGAGGTGGGGGAATGTGGACAAAGCAAAGAATAAACTTAATTTTACCAAAGAAGTTGGAAGTACCAAAGCCTCTTTTTCTCCGCCTCCTCCCATCACATCCTTCCTGTGAATTATTAGGATCTGAGAAGAGGGGAGGACAGCTGAGGCTTTAATTAGCTGCTTTTATGAAACAGGTGAGAACATGTATAAATTAGATAATGAATGGTTGCTCTTTGTGATGGACAAAACAATTGGAATATCTCTCAACAAACAACCACGTGTGTCCTGGCCAGAAAAAATATGACAGAGAAAAATCAGGAGGTAACAAAACCGTTTGTGTAAAAATGTCAGGGTGTATTTCAGCACCAATCATAATCCACTCTTGACAGAGATCTTGTTTGGGAACTCTTTCTGGGATTGCTTGTCATGTAACTGCTGGGTACAGAATAAATGTTTTAAATTTTCCTGTAATGGTTCGTCAAGTCACCAGGACTTATATCCTTCAATCTCATTAAAAAGAAGCTTCTAATGATAATAATTAAAAAAGAGGAAATTACAGAGAGTTGGCACCTTCAGACTGCTGCAAAACATCATATTGTCAACACCAAGGATGTCACCAGAAACCTTAAAATGCAGAGGGGACTATAACATGAAAATTTAATTCTTCCAGATCACTATTTGCAGGAGAAACATGTCAATAAATTTTGAATGCGGTACTTGCTCAGCGACAACTTCTAATGAATGCTCAAAAGCTGTGAAAAACTGTTGCCTATTTCTCTTTGTAGGCAAAGTTTGATAAAGTTGGAATATTTGTGTGTTTATGCGGTGCAACCATGTATTTTTTAATAATTTCATTTTGTGAAACCTGGTGCAAATTAAATATGAAGTAAACCAACCTCAAACCTTCCTGAACTTTTTTAAAATACTGAGAACAGCAAGCCCCTACCAAACAAGCAGGATTAGTTTCATGAATGCTCTTATGGGACTTAAAAATTTGAATTCAGTTCTCTTCTGTACCAGAGTTTTCCTGTGAAAAAAAGAGTCGGTTAGCCTTTCTTTATTTCTCAAAAAAAAACAAGAACACAATTTTCTGGCTCTAGTATTATGTGTCAGCAAGGGAGATTCAGAGGTTCTTAGCTACAGTGGAATTTTCATTATGAAAAATAGACAGGTATAAGTTTTTTCTTTAACAAAATCTCTTTATTCTCTGAGTAGCTCATAAGGTATAATGAGCAATTGCTACAATGTAAGTAGCAAGATATAAGAAAAATACCTCAGTTTATTTTGGTTATTTGGCATTTATAACAGAAATGTATATCACTGAATTTAAAAAGTTGGTAATATCTCAATCATTTGCTATTTCTGCTGTGCTTTTGCTGCTGTTAAATAATTGCACACCTGAGGTACACTAGAAACAAAAATCAAACATGCCAGCTCGTTTGTTGAGAACACATTGCTTAAATCATGTTTGGCTTTTTTGTTGTCTTCTGACTAGAATTTCTGGTAGCCATACATTTCTTTAAAATCCTAAATAATGTTTCTTGCATTATGTTATAACAGACCATTTCCCTGTGACCAGCAGAACACTTGTGGTGGCTTGTGGAATATTTGTGGAATCCCCTTAAACCAGAATTGTTGGAAAGGAGATCTTTTGAACACTTTTTTTTGCTCCATTTTGATCCAGAAGTGCTCCATTCTGCTGACAGCATTTAAAGAAAACGGAGTTAAGGATTTCAGGGGGCACTGACAAGCAAGAGAGTGAAAGTCATGTACATACGTGGACAGATATGTAAGTATACATTTATTTATATTTATGTGCAAATATTATACATATATAAACAGCAAAACATGGAGATGGGCAACTGCAGCCTGTGGCAGTGCACCAGCAAAGCCCCATCACTGACTTGGTACCATAAATACCAGCTGCAATGAGATTGTAAGAGCTTCAGTTTTCAGTTGTTCCACAGAACAGTGCAAATTGTCCAAAAAAATTCAGAGCACTTAAGATTCTTAAACATGCTAAAACTCGTGTCTCTGCCATTCTTTATTATGTCCTATTTAGTGTGCAAATGCAGGCATGCTGTCACAGTCTGTGCTCTCGTCTTCAATTTGCTGTGAAATTGCATCTGCAAAACTTTCTTTACAATGCTTTTGGTGGTGTTTGCATTTAAACAGGAGGAGTAAATCGGGTACCATCTGATTAACGATTTCACGATTCTTTTTGTGCATAAAAAAGGACCCGAGGACCCGCAGAGGCCTTTTTTTCATGTGCGTTTACAT